CAATCACAGCACACTCGAGGTCATTATTGGGTCGAAATGGGCCTGTAATGTGGCCGTTATGACAATTTCTTTTGATAGAAGCCCCGATACCCTATTGAAGCTAAGCTCCTACGCGTATAGGGACCAAAGGGTGATTAAAGTCACGGTACCGATCGGGGATTCGTAGCTCGAGTGGGTAGGGGGTCGATTATGCCCAAGCCTAGCTCTTGATGTCGTGGATTCAAATTCCACAGAGGCCGCCGAATAGTTCCATATTACGTCGAGTGCATTTTCCATGTGTGCTCAAACGCCAGTTAATTTCACCTAAGCTACAATATCTATTTGCTATCTCATTAAATATTAAATGAAATTCTAAAATTTACTTCCGAAAAGAAAAGACTGTTCAAGTAGGACCGTGATAGTAATTATCTTTCAGTACGACCCCCAGATATTTTAGTCGCATTGACAGCCTCCAAAACTATACTGTAGAAATGACTACTGAATAAGTGTACAACTTTCTGGTTGATTTTCTGTGCTCTTATAAATTCTAATCTATTTTGTAGAAAACATGCGCTATATTGTTCTTTCTTCTACTGATTTGATAGCAATTTACGTCTTTTTCCAACTGTCTTCTTGATAAAAGGATCGTTTTTGGTTTTGAAGAAGACTTATAATTATGGGGGCTTTAAGGCTATGAACCGTCATAATAGAACGTATATGTTCATATGTTCGTGCTTCCTTGCGGTCTCTAGTCTCTGCAAACTTTTATGAGTGCTGTATGGCCTCTTCTTAATAGCGCATAGAAATTTACGATTTTCCTTTTACGGAAGGTATACATGTTGCAGTTTGGAAACCCCGAATGCAGTTGTAACAGCAGTTCGGGTTCGAATTTTTCGAAAGTTCAAGTTTTAGAAGAACCCCAAACTACCCCTCCCTTAGTGTGTGTATTTTGAAGAAGACGAAATTTTCTTCTGAGTACAAGGACAAATATTTCTGTGCATTGTGGACACCAAAAAGCTATATACTACTTAAGTGGTCCTTAACTATGGTGTAATTTTCCAGGCATTCCTGGTGTACCTATAATGTCGGGGATTATTCTGCAGGACAATTTTTCTTATGGTCCTACTTAAGTTATACTTCTGATCGAAAGCTTTAGAATTTTGACTGTCATTTCACGAGATAACTCATCTACTGCATTTATTTCCTTAACACATTAAATATATGGATTTAAGGATGACATTTTCCACTCGACCGTTATTGTAAATTTTCTAAAGTAATTGCCTTAAAACACACACTCGCTCCAGCGACTAACGTCGCACTTAGTCTCAGTTCGCTGAGCTTTGGTCGGCATCATCTTTCGCAGTACAGTCTTTTGGTCGGCATCCATTCACGACTGTCTGCGTAAAAAGTTTGCGATCGATGGCCACTTCCCGAAAAAAAATCGCCTGAGACGCACTCTGTCGCCTTGAGCGTGAATCTGTGGTCGAAATGGATCACTGGCTACATCCGTTTTGTCGCAGATGGATCTGCCTATGACTAAGTGCCTTAGTTGTAAGCCCAAGATGCGTGGGTGGAGACGCCTGAGTCATGTTTTTTTTCATTCGTAAGGTAAACAGAATATCTCGGGAATCACGATCGTATCGCCGAGCCTCTTGTAAAGTAGACAAGCTATCTTCGCCATTGGTGACGTCGCTTAAATGGCGACGTTCTATTTGGTCTACGGAATTCGGACGTGTGTTTTTTAGAGACGAATTTGTCATCTCGGACAACGAAGACTAGACCACTGAACTGCCTGCCACTCTTAAACTTTTTTAATCAGCCAGTCAATTAATATGTGCGTTTGTTTTTGCAATGCAAGTGCGATACGACTTAACCGCTGGAACGACGAACTAGGACGGCATCTAAAGTTAACTGATGTCTTTCGAAAGCTGGGCTTTTAGCCCCCATACTAAATGCACAGCAATCCTCAATCCTCCTAACTTGGTCTTGTCGTTAGAAAACGATAGGTGCGGAAAGGGGAAGGAGGAATCTGGGCAAATCTCCCTATTCCAAATAATGCGCAAGTTACCGTTCCTTCCCTAGGCCATAATGATTCGCTTTGGGTACAAAAAGGGAAGTATAAGGTCTACTGTGCAATCAGTTACGATGGTTGCCCTTATTCTGGGCCAAAAAGCCGACTTGATACAGGACACTGTCAGGTGAACTATGGATGAAGAGCCATCGGATAATGGCATGATGCCCGAGGTTCGTTATTTTACCCAGGCTCACAACAAGTGTTTTCAATTTCTTGAATTTCGACTGTTATTTACTCGGACTACAGATGCATCCATGTCACTTTCGGTGACAAGGTTTGGCTGTTGGGACGGAAAAAGATACATAAAGTCCCACCTTCCAGATTCGTGCGTTAATCTGTTTTTTTTTTAAATGTTATAAATGAAGAAAGTTTATGAGATGCAGGTCATGATAATTTCATAATTTTAGTCACCTTTATTTCGCATGTGAAGCTTCGGTCCTGGGAAAAGTAGAAATGACGAGCAAAGTGTAGTTGGATACAGAAATGCGTTGTGAATGTACACTTTGAGGCGAAATAAATATGCAAACTGGATAAGCATGTCATACAAACGGAGTTTGCTGTAGGTCCGAAGAAAGGGGGTACAAATTGAAGGCTATAAATGGTAAGAAACAGAGGAACCTTATTATTAGGCATTACCAACTGGAGACTGTTGCAATTCTGACTATGAGTGGTAGTCAGCCAGGCACATTCCAGCTCCAGGCGGAGATCTAGGGTTTTAACCGAGTTCAAGTTGATCGTTGCAGATGATAGGTTATCCTTTCTGCCACTAGTTCGCTCCCTCTGCTTGCAACCAGAATTACTCCTATTCACAAGGGAGTCATATAAAGAGTCAAAGGTAATCATTTAATCATCAAAAACGGGGCCATCGGCATGAATACACCTTAGAATTTAAAATAAAATGACGGTGTGTTGATGGATAAATCTGTCGGCTAAGAGTGGAATGACGCCTTTCAACAGTCGACCTCGTGAAATGCGTTGCTGCCACGAGTCCACTTCCTACCGTCACCAACAAAACCAAAATCTTCGGGTAAAGAACCTAATGAATATGCAAAGACTGATTGAAGATCGAGCATCTTGAACTGATAAAACTATTCAAGTCTCTGGCTTAAACTCTTGGTGTAAGTTATCCAAGAAGTGGTAAGGTTGCAGGTCCTTCGTGTGGCACCCACCCTGTGGGATTTGGGTTGGTAGCAAGATGGTTTTAAAGAAAACGGAGAGATGATCTGGCGGGAGATTTGATTGCGTCTCAACAAATGTGGGACGGAATATTACT